CCGTACACAATTTTTAGAAAGAAAGGAATATGAAAGGGTATTCATGTAAAGCTTATCTCTTAAATTTAATCGCACAATTCTTCAATGATACTATGTTAATATGTATGAAAACATTGCCTATAACCCACATTTTTGGTTCAAAATTCAAGATATCAAGAAATCAATAATAGGGTAGCAAAAATGGAATTTTTTTTACATCTTTTATAATAGAAATTTCAACAAAGAAGAAAAGAAACAATAGTAAAATTGCCACTACCTTTGACAACATTTTGCCCTATTTATATTATCTGTCACTTTGTCTTTATCTGTGCATAGCTATTTCTCCCTTTGAGAAGACCCTGTAGACTTCACTCCTAAATATTAGTCTCTTCGAATTCCACCTTTTTACATGATTTTGATATTTTGAAAAGTCCTAGGAAGTTGCATTGTAGAAAGCCTCACATTTGCATTCGTTTCTTCATGCTGTCATTTAACTTGTTCTATCACACTCTTTTTCTCTATATATTGAACATTATAAAGATTTCATTGGACTCTGAGGTGATGCTGCATATATCTAGAGACACATAAAATCAGGTTTTCTCATAATTAATAAAATAATTAAAACTGTAAAGTAGTCACTGCTGGCGTTTTCTACTATAAAGCTCACATTACTCATTACAATAAGTCATGTGAATAGTGATACGTTTAACATCTCTATTTGGAAAGTGATTACATGTATGTGTAAGTTTGAGATGATAGAGGAAAAACTAATCTGAATTATGGTCTAGTCAGAAAAGAATGACAATGAAATGTTTATGGATCAGAACTTTAGATGAGGCCAAATTATAACTGGAACATTAGTTTAAAAACAACACAATTATGGGGCTCAGCAGACGGCAATGGCATAATGCTTGTTGCTGGACTCCCATGTAGTTGACCACAGTTCAAGTCCTGGACCCAGTGGCTTGAAATCCACGCTGTGCGTGTGTGCCCAAAATCCCCAGAGGAGAGTGGAAGAGAAAGGATTGTGATGTGCCATCCCCCCTGGGGAGGGGGGTGGTTTCTAGCTTTCTATCTCTCTGTCTCTGTTTCTCCGGTAAGCACACACCCCCTATAGCAAAAATCTCTCTATAAAAAGAAAATAAATTAATTAAAAAAAAAATTAGACCCAGCCACTGTGGCATAGCAATAATGCCAGTGCCATGAAAGGCTGGAAGCCATATGGCCAACCTTAAGTTCAGATCCCCGGGCTGGCTGGAAAACCCAGATACATACAAAGGCATGTAGGATCCCAAGGAGCTGGAGGGCTGGGGAAATAGAGTGTGGCATGATGAGACCCTGTCAGGGGTGCTTCTTTCACGTGCTCCTGCTATCACTTAAAAATATAACCATTTAAAAAGTACTGCCTACAGGAAACTAGGATTGAAAGTTAGAATTTCATTTTGTTCACCTCTTTATATCTCTACTACCAGTAAAATAATGGTCACAGGGTATATAATTAATAAAGCTATTAAAGGAAAGAAGTTACATCAGTTGTTCCAGAATCAGTTCTTGATAAGTAATACCTTTTTTCCAGTAAGTTGCTTTGTTGAAAATCATTTGACCACAAGGTTAGTTTAAGTATTTCACAATGTAAACATGTAAAAATTATGTACATGTAATATATATAATTTTTGTCAGTTGTAACTTAATAAAGCTGGGTAGAGATAAATAGAGCACATAAATATGCTCATAATTCTTAATACTCTTCCATGCCATTTGCTATGGTCTGAATGATTATGTTCCCCCAAAACTAGTATATTAAAATCCACACCCCCCCCAAATAATGGTATCAAGAGGTGGGGCCTTTGTGAGGTGATTAGGTCATGAGGGTGGAGCCCTCATGAAAAGGATTACTGCCCTTATAAAAGAGGCCCATGAGAGACTCTTCATCCTGTAGATCGTATGAGGTTAGAGTTAAAAAATGGCTGACTAGGAGGAAGCAGGAAATAAATCTTGATTCCCATTTAACAAAATTACTTGTCTGCTTATTGGTATAATATAAAATACTTTTAAAACATTACTAAAAATACTATAAAAGTGCTTAGTGCTTTTAACTGTCAATAATTTAATATGTCCCAAGGCCAGATGAAAAGCTAAAGCTATGTTTTAGCCACCCTAACAAGACAAGATGATGCCCCACACCCACAATTTAGTTCATATGTAGAAACTAATGACACTCATACACACACATACATGTGTGCACCAAGAAGGTAAGAAAGTTATACTTACATAATTGAGGTATCTGAAGAGAGAGCAAGCCTCAAGCAAATCCAAAAGAAAATGGCTTGAGGACAGGGAAAGGAAACTGGCATGAACTTTTATTATGACTAGGATTGTTTTTTCTTATCAGCTTATCCAAATGTTATACAAAATCAACACAAAAAATGAACTGCATATCAGGGCCAGCATGTAGCATGGTAGTTAAGGCAATGGATTCCCACATGGCCAACCATGGTTCAAGTCCCAGATCTGGTGGCTTAAGAATCATGCCAGGCACATGTGCATGCATGCCCAAAATCCCAAGGAAAATGGAAGAGGGATTGCGGTCTGGCCATCAATCTGGGGGTGAATTTTTACTTTCCCTCTCTGTCTCTCTCCTGTGCACATGCACCCTATGGCAAAAACCTAGAAAAAGAAATGAGTCACATTTCTATATACTAACAATGAACAATCTCAAAAAGAAATTATGAAAACAACTCTAATATCAAAACTACTTAGGAATTAATCCCAGAGGTGAAAACCCTATACAATGAAAACTGTAGAACACTGCTAAAAGAAAAAGAAAACATAAATGAAAAAACATCCCACATTCATGGACTGGACAACCTAATGCTATTAAGATGACAATTCAGGAAAGTCGATGGCATGGTGATTAAGGTGGCAGGACCCTACATGACTGACAGCATGGTTTGAGTCCAGACCTGATGGTTTGAGAAACATTCTGGGTATGTGCAGAGGTATGCTCAAAATCTCAAAAGAAGAAATGGAGGGGAAAGGATTGTGGCATGGCCATCCCCCATGGAAGGGTGCTTTTTTGCCTTCCCTCTCTCTCTCTCTGGTGAGTGCACATGCCCTCCAATAACAATAAGAACAAACACACCAAAAAATAGACATGCAGTAAATATGTGTGATTGCAAGGGGAAAGAAATATTAAAAAAGGACTTTTTTTAGGGTGACAATAGTACCCAAATTGACCTATAGACTTAAGCAATCTCTACTAAAATCCCAATGACACTTTTTGCAGAAATATTAAAATCCATCCTAAAATTTGTATGGTATCTCAAGGGATCCAGAATAGTCAAAACAATATTGAAAAAGAACAAAGTTGGAGGCCTCACACTTCCTTATTTCAAACCTTATCACAGATCTACACCACGCAAAACAGTATAGTACAGGCGTAAAGATAGACATACACCAATAGAACAGAGCTCAGAAATAAACTCTTGCATATATGTTCAGATGATTTTGGACAAAAGTGCCAAGACCAATCAATGAGGACAGTTCAGTCTTTTGAAAATGGTATTGCAGAAACTGGGTATTCACATGCAAAAGAATGAAGCTAAAGTCAGGCCTAACACCATATATAAACATTAACTTAGAATGGATCAAAGATCTACATGTAAGAGCTACACAACTCTTAGAAGAAAATACAGGTGACAATGATTTCTTGACTATAACAATAAAGGCACAGGCAACAACAAAAAATAGACAAAGTGAATCTCAAAAAAATTTAAAAACTTCTTACATCAAGGAACATCATCAGCAGAGTAAAAATGTAATCCACAAAAAGGAATAAAATATCCAATAAGGTATTAATATCCAGAATATGTGGAGAACTCCTGAAACTCAACACAAACAAAACAATCCAATTCAAAAATAGAGAAAGGATTGAATAGACATTTCTCCAAAAATACACAAATTGTCAATAAACACACAAAATGACACTGAACCTCATAAGTTGTTAGAGAAATGCGTATCAAAGCCACAATAAGATATCACCTCACCCATTAGGATAGCTACTATCAAAAAAAAAAAAAAAAGGGTGGTGATAAAGATGTGGTGAAATTGGAAACCTTGTATACTGCTGATAGGGGTATAAAATGGTGTACCTGCTGTGGAAAACAGTAGGGCAGGTCCCCAAAAACTAAAAATTGAACTACTACAAAACCCACAAAAGTAATTCCACTTCTAAGAATATACCCAATAGGACTGAGAATAGGGTTTCAAAGAGATATTCGTACACTCCTGTTCAGAGCAGAATTATCTGCAGTAACCAAAACATAGAGGCAACCCAAATTTCCATTGACTGATGAAGAGATCATCAAGATGGTATATGTATAAATGGAATACTATTCAGCCTTACAAAGAAATAGGAATATGCTACATTGATGAACCTTGAAGACTTTGTGCTGAGTGAAATAAGCTAGTCATAAAAAGAAATACTTAGGATTCCACTATATTAGGAAACTAGTCAAATTCATACAGACAGAAAGTAGAACAGTGATTTTTCAGAGCCTGGTTATACGGAGTTATTATTAATGGGTATAGATTTTCAGTTTTATAAAAGTAAAAGAGTTCTGAAGATGGATGGTAGTGGTAGTTCCACAATATTAATATATTTGATACCTCTAAACTATACACTGAAAAATGGTTAAGATGGTAAATTCTGAGTTTTCTCATAATTTTTGATGGGTAGTACATTGGGGTCAGCAGTTGGTGTGGTGGTTAAGGTGAGGGATTCCCACATGGCCAACCCTAGTTCAAGGCCCAGACCTGGCAGTTTGAAAAGTCATGATGGACACGTGTGTGTGTGTCCAAAATCCTGAGAGAAGAATGGAAGAGAAGGGAGTGTGACATGGTCATCATCCCTGGTAGGTGATTTCTCTCTGTCTCTGACTCTCCTCAACAAGTGCACATGTCTTAGGGCAAAAACCTTAAAATTTTTTTTTTCAGTGCATTTATTCAACAGGGTACTACTCAGTAGCAAAAGAAATAAATGATATACACATAAAGCATGGGTGATTCTCAAAATAACTATGCCGTATGGAAGAAACCAAAACAAGTAAAGTATAAATGCTCTAAGATCCCAAATGCATATGATTTTAGAAAAGACAAACAAATATAGAGCGGAAAAAAAGAGTAAATCAATGGTCTCCTGGGGAAGACAAAGAGGGATTAAAAAGGGACATGAGATAGTTTTGAAGGTGAAAAAGATGTTCATTATCATGGTTACAGTGTTGGTTCCCTGAGTGATTACATATTTCAAAATTTATCAAATCATGTGCATCAAGTATATACAATTATTGCATGACAATTATATCTTAACAAATAATTAAAAGAAATTATTACACATAAAAATCTGACCTTCCGCTCATTTTAGAAAACTAGAATATATTGACTCCACCAACTTTCTCTTCATGCCTTGGTAGTAAAAAGTAGCTGGCTTTGTCATAAATGCTGTATCCCTAGAGTACAGGGTCTATTCTCTTAATCCGATTTTACTGCCAGTACAACAATGGCTTTGAGATGCACAGAGCAGAGCCTACAGTAATCCACAAAATATCTAGATTATTTGTACTTCCAATAACCTTAGTCATAAGACAGAGATCTGGAGGTCCTGAAAAATTCTGCAAACCCTGAACCCTGTTGTTCTGTTATAATCTCAACTACTCCCTATGTCTCATACTGTGTTTCTCTACAAATTATGGTCCCCTCAGTGTCCAGTAGGTCTTAGTTAGAGACAGTTGTATAGCAGATGCTGAATTTCAGGGTATATGGCTCTTTGGTGGGCACTAGCTAAACAGCATCTGTTTAACAGTGCTAGGGGATATGGAGCGCGCTCTGGGAATGAAGGATCCAATTCATGCTGTTCCCAGATCCATTGGAAGTTATCACAACTTCTCCTCCTCATGACACAAAAATCCATGCCATTTAGACATTAGCCTCACAATGTTCTTCTCCTAGGAGGCCTTTGATAGCAATGTAAATGAAGCCGAATCTGGACTAAGAGTTGTTTCCTCTGAGACAGTATATTTAGAGATCTTCAGTTTGGTAAATTAATTCTGTTCTCAACTCACCCATGCACGGTGATTGGAACATATAATTAGGGAGGTTTATCAATAAGGCTCTTATCATATGAACCAGTGCAGTGTACAGTAGGTAGTTGGGTCAGGTAATACAAAGGCTGGATCCATTGTGAGTGTAATATGATGCAACCGACAAAGTCCCTGACAAAGGGAAACCTTTGCAAGCTACCAGCAGAACTTTGCTCAGGACTTCTCAGCCAATAATGGGTCATGCCCACACCAAATTAGCTGTAGGGAGAGGGAATAACATTAACTCTGGACTCAGACTACTGCAATTCCTTTCAGGGAGTAGAAAGAGGACAGAGGTGTGCCTTCCCTGAGCACAGCAGAGAGCATAACACACGATCTGGAGACCTGCTAGTGGGTAGAGCTGAGATGGCATCTATTGGAAGTTCTAGCACTGACAAAACTGACAAGATCAATGGTCAGAAAATGTTCTTTGCTCCAAGAGCTGCCAATGTATCTAGCATTCACTGGGAATCTCTCCAGTGTGGATACTGGGATGAAGACTGTCTGACTTCTGGCAGACAACTCCCTCATAAAGACTACTCTCAGAACTTATCTGTGGTGTGTGCTGTAGTGTTGAACAAGAAGGGAGGTCATTCTCTATCCTTCTTTCTCGAGTGTGAATTTTCTGATGCCGAATGAGGGTAGGCCTTTGGTTGAAGGCTTTCCCACATTCACTGCACTTATAAGGCCGATCTGGTTTGTGCACTTTCTGGTGCTGCCTCAGATTAGACCGCTGTCTGAAGGTTTTCCCACATTCACTGCACTCATAAGGCCGCTCACCAGTGTGAAGTCGCCGATGGTTACTGAGGCTGGAGCTTTGGTTAAAGTATTTCCCACATTCACTGCACTGATAAGGTCGTTCACCAGTATGAAGTCTCCGGTGACTATTCAGGCTGGAACTTTGGCTAAACAATTTTCCACATTCACTACACTCATAAGGTCGTTCACCAGTGTGAACTCGCTGATGTTTCATGAGGTCAGAGCTTCGGCTAAAGGCTTTCCCACATTCACTGCACCCATAAGGCCGTTCACCTGTGTGAACTATCTGATGTTGAATGAGATTGGCGATGTGGCTAAAGAATTTCCCACATTCATTACACTTATAAGGTCTCTCTCCAGTGTGAACTCGCCAATGTTTAATTAGGTTAGAGTTGCAGTTGAAGGATTTCCCACATTCACTGCACTCATGAGCACTTCTTCCAGTATGAACCCTTTTGTGATGAATGAGGTTGGAGCGCTGGCTAAAGAATTTCCCACATTCACTGCACTCATATGGCTTTTCACCCGTGTGAACCCTCTTGTGTTGAATGAGGTTGGAGCTCCGGCTGAAGACTTTCCCACAGTCGCAGCACACATGAGGACTTTCACCAGTATGAATCCTCTGATGTTTAATGAGACTAGATTGTAGGCTAAAGAACTTCCCACATTCGCAGCACTCATAAGGTTTTCCTAGATTGTGAACTCTCTGGTGCTGAATAAGTCTAGACACATAGCTAAAGAATACCCCACATTTGCTGCACTCATAGGGTCTTTCTCCAGTGTGGATTTTCTGGTGTTTAACAGACATAGATTTATCATGGAAAGTGGCCCCAAATTCATTGCCCTTGCTATGCCTTTGTGCAGTGTGAAAATCCATCATGGCTTCAGTGCTGCTATGTGGCTCTTCCACACTGGCAGCAACTAGATGGTGCAGGAAGACTGACGTGGCCACGGAGTCTTTCCCACCCTCCCTGTGAATGGGAGGCTTCTCTGACGTATAGCCTCTTTGGGCCTTTGCAGGTGAGGTCCTATTCTCCTCTCTTCTGACAGGCTTGCCTACTTTTTGTAGCACCTGTTGCTGGGAAAGGTTTGTGCTAAATTCAGATTCTTTCCCATTTGTATGACACACATATGGTTTTTGCCTGGGGTGTGCTGCCTGGTGTTGAGTCAGGTGCAAAATGTCTTTCAGTTGTAGGCCACATATGTCACAGGGGTAGGTCTTCTGGGTGCATGGAGCTGCCTTGGAATTCTTGTCCTGTGACACTCCTTCCATAGAAACACTATGCTCAGAAGGTAGCTCCTCACCCTCTGTTCCACAGCAAAAATCTAAAAGCAGAGAAATGCTGGTGAGGTTAATATAAACATTGATAGAAGGAAACAGCTCTATCACATATGCTTGTCTGACTCATGAATGAGCCCATGGGACTGCTGGCAAGGTGAGAAGTCTCAGGTCAGGGAGCCAAGCAGTGGTGCAGCAGTAACACAGCCCGACCCACATGGTAAGGTCTTAAGTTTGTGTCCTGGAACCTCCTTGTGCGCACCAGGTGTGCATGTGCCCATGATACAGGCTGGCTGAGACTGGGGGTGCATTACGGCATGAGAACTGTTGGGGATGCCTCCTTCTCTCTCTCCCTCTCAGAAGAAGAAATAGGTGAATAAACTTTTTTTAAAAAGCCTCAGTTCAAGGTGAAGAATGGTAGCAAAATAGGGGAGGACCTCTCAGGACCAAGGGCACAAGGATGTGGCACTGTACTGGTTAGAGAGGCACAATCTTCACTCACTTCTCTCAGAGGCTTTCAGCAGGGCCTTGGCTGCTGCTAACCTATGAGGGCTAAAAAGTGGGAGGTCTATAGAGCCAGCAGATGGCATGGTGGTTAAGGGTGCTGGATTCCCACATGGCCAGTTGTGGTTCGTACCCTGGACCTGGCGGCTTGCTTTCTCACTCTTCCCTTTCTCTGGTCAAATTAAAATAATAATACTACTAATAATACTAAATATAATAACACATGGAATTAAAATAAATAAATAATTCTTGGGGGGAAAAAAAAGTGATAAGTCTAGACCAATGGAATCTGACTGCAACTGAACAGCTAATATTCAAAGACTTGGAGGAAATGTGCACACCTCACTTATCAAGTGCAAGCCGACATCGGAGAGAGCCAGAGAAGAAGCTGTGGAAAGTGCAAGACACAGGGGCCAGAAAAGTGGAGCTCAGCCAAGGACCAAAACTCAGAATAGAGAAAAGTGGGCAGTGTGTCCAAATTGGGGAAAGAAAAGTAGAGATGAAATGTGGACATTGGCTTTGACACTGAACCATGACCCACATGAGAAAAGATGCCAGCAGGATTTGAACACAGTGGTGGTCACATCTCCTGCCAGCTGCACTTACCAGAGGCAGGCCTGCTGTAAGCCCCTCTCGCCATGGCTGAAGAAATATCCACTCTGTCAGGTACCCAGGGCTCTTCTCCCATCTCCAGCTGGGCAACTACATGGGACCTGAAAGACATAAGTCCTAAAGGAGACAGGGCAGGTCAGTGGCCAGCACCAGCCTAGGTGCACTACCCTCCAACAGACTGCAGGAAAGCAAACTCAATATAACAGAGAGTGTACCAGAGAGGTTGGGCAGGTCCATACCAGTGGTCACAGCAAGCAGTAACCATAACAGTGCCTGGAATTCCTGGCACAGGTAGGCTTAGGACATGGTAGCAAAAGGGAAGGAGAAGAACCTGAACCTCCATATTGCCAGAGATCTGGATGATCACCCAAGCAGGGAGTGCCTGTCACTCCTCGGGCTCCACCGAGCTGATAGTGAGACTCCTCAGGCCTGGCCCCTTCCTTGAAAAGGCTGCAAGCGACAGGGGAGAAGGAGCACTACACATAGCTCAGCCCTAAAACCCACACCCATAAACCAAGAAAGTGGAGGAGGAAGCAGTGCCCATGATCTGGCTGCAGAAGGAAAGAGCTGCCTCTTCAGAGAAGGGGACCGGCAGAGACATGCACAGGACACCAGGGTGGGTGTGATGATCTTACCCAGTGAGGCTATAAGTGCAAAGTTCTCGAGCATCACGTCGCAGTACAGGAGCCTCTGTGCCTCATCAAGGAGCGCCCACTCCTCCTGGGAGAAGTAAACGGTCACGTCCTCAAAGGTCACACAGCCCTGCTGTGATGGGGACAGTTCATGCCATGATCAGCCTCTTTCCTCAGGACTCCCTAGCCATCCCAGCCATCCCCTGCTCACACGCCTCCTGTGAGGATACCCCAGATCCTGGTTCCATGGGTACCTGCTCTTTTTTCTTGCCTCACACGACCTCTGTGTCAGCCCACAACAGCAGCAGGCAGTGTAGAAATGCAGGGCCTGACCTGCTCTCTGTCAGCCCCTTCCCCTAATGTCGCCAATACAAACAAACATGGGCTCAGTCATCTCCCTTAATCCCTGGCCCAGGGCCCCAGGGTTGAGAGCTCACACTCACTCCTATATGCATGTCACTTTGGTGACACTTTCCTCACAACTCTAGACCTCACTACTGCACCCAGTTGTCATTGCTACCCTCTCCCCTTCTGGAACACAACAAAGCCATCTCCATGGACTCTCACATGTCACTGCACATGGCATCCAGAGAGTGCTCGACAAATACAACCATGGTTCCATTCTGCGCTGGGGCCTTCAATAGCTTCCACTGCCAAGGATGACACTCCCCTGCTTTGAGAGCCTCCCCATCCAGCCCTGTTCCTGGCTTCAACCTAAGTCACCCACAAACACGCAGCATGTCAGACACCCTTGGCCCTCCTCGGAGTTGCATATTCCGTCCCTTTATCATTCACTCTCATTCAGAAGCAAACCCTCTGGTTCTCGTACTCCTACCCACCCAGGGCCCAGCAAGTCTTCCGACTGACCCATCTGCCCCTTACTGGAAATCTCCAGGCCACTGCAAGGCTCACCACAAAAGCCTGAGAACACAGATGGGTGAATAAGCCCCAGCCTGGGCCACACTGCCATATTACCTCCATTACTACTAGCCCTCAGTGTCCCTCTCATATGTACCGCCCACCTGCCAGGACCTCCTATCCCCACACACCCCCCCACCTCCACCCTCACCACTACTTTTCCTCATCTCTTTTTTTTTTTTTTGGAGAGGTTTTTGCTATAGGGCGTGTGCACTCACCAGACAGACAGAGACAGACAGAGATAGAAAGCGAGAAATCACCCCCCAGGGGGGATGGCCACGCCGCAATCCCTTCTCCTCCATTCTCCTCAGGATCTTGGACATGCATGCACATGTGCCTGGCATGAGTTTAAGCCACCGGGTGCGGGACTCAAACCGCAGTCAACTACGTGGGAGTCCAGCGACATAGCCATTAGGCCAACTGCTGGTCCCTCTTCCTCATCTCTTCATGACACCAAACAAGCCCACCATGGAGTCCAAGCAAGATATCTATTCTCCATTCTTGGATCCCACCATCCTCTTTTTCCTAGTATCATTTCCAGTGACCTGGATTCACCCTCCTCAATCTGATACACAGGTGCATCCCTATCCACATACCAGATGCCACATTTTGGATATTTCTAACTCTGGAACAACCAAATGAGAAAAGCAAAGACTATTATTTTCAGATCTTGCTGTAGCAAGGGTGTCAGTCACAGTTGCCTTTGTTTTGGCAGAGTCTCAAAAGTTGGCAGACGAACAGGAAAGTTCTGTAGTGGAAAAGTCTGCCTTGGCTCATAGCTGCTGGCTTGGGAAGGTGTGGGCTAACTAGAAGCTGGGCACCTTATGTGATCGGGTGGGGGGGGCATATTTAGCTTTCTCTTAAAGTGAAAGCAGAAGCAAAAATTAAAGAAGTTGTCAGTTATTAATCAAGCTCTGGTCATTTGGGGCCGACTGTTACAGAAGTGATTGTTTAACCTCCTGGATTGTTGTTAGAGATAACAATCTGGCTTCCTGCAGGTCTGACTTACAGTGGGCTGGCTTCCCCAGTTGCTTAGTGTAGACAAGGGGGGCTGGTTTCCTGGGCAGGTCACTGCAGCTCATGAATAGAGTCCTGGTTTTTTTTTTTTTTTTTGTATGAATTCCAGCTGTTGTCCCTTTGTATATTCAGTCCCTCATAACCCTAACACCTTCCCCAAACACCATCGCTGTGGGTGCAGCTGCCCACTCTTCAGATCCACTTGGGAGTCTGGGTCCCTGGAAATCAGACACTCAACATGGACAAAACCTGCAGCATGAGTACCTCCATTTTGAATATGACTCCGCCGCCATTTTTCTTTCCTGGTGACCTGACCCATATGTGTCTCTTGAAAATTCCTCACTGAATGCTTATCACCAGCAGATGTACACTGCCATCCATACCTGTCCTCCTCAGGGAATATTAATCACCAGCAGATGTTGCCAATTATAACCATCCTTCCTGATAACCCACTTTTTCAGCTTTTGTAAACTATCGCATAACTCAAAGGCTTGTAGTTTTTTTTTAATAATTATTTATTTAGTTTTATTTATTCATTCATTTTATTTTTAAATTTGACCAGAGAGACACGCACAGAGAGAGAGAGAGAGAGAGAGAGGGAAAGTGAGAAAGCAAGCCACCAGGTCCAAGACTTGAACCGTGGTCAGCCATGTGGGAGTCCAGCGCCCTTATCCACCACGCCACCTGCCAGCCCCGAGGCTTGTAGTTTTTTTAGGTTTGTAGGGTTTGCCTTTATAAATCTTCCTCTCCTCTGCTTTGGGGATGTGAGGTTTTGGAGAGACTCAAGTCCTCCCCAGTTGCGGGCAAATACAGACTCCTTTAATCTGGCTAAAATGGGTTGTCCTCTTATTCTCTCACTGATTTGAATACAACAAACCAACTTTCTGTTATTTCCACTGAAAATTTCTCCTACAACCAATTATTCGATTGGTGGCTCGAGCACCTTTTCTTCCAGATACTAAAGTCAAAAGTGGGAGCGTCATCCCTTCCCTTTCTCATCCTCCACATCAGAAAACCTGGGCAGTTCAACTGAAAGGCAGATCCAGGCTCCGATCACTTTACGTTGGCTCCCCATTCTGGTCCAGCCATCAGCTCACTCACCAGCACTATGAGGGGGGCTTTGTCTCCCTGCCCCGACCCTTACCCCACTTCCCTTATCCACTCTGCATACACAGGAAGTTAAGACCTGAGACAGAACACCTCCCTCCCCTGCTCTAAACCTTCCATGGTTCCCAGAACTCTCGGAATAGAGGCCCAGCCCCTCAGCCTGCCGTTCTGGAGCTGTCTTCAGCCTACCTGCTCTCTAGCCTCAGCTAGATCTGGGGTTCCCAGCGCACTCAACTCCATCTCTCCACCCTCGAGTATCTGCACCAGCTGCCCAGGAAACCCTTCTTCCCATCATCCCATTAGATTTCAGAACTGGAAACGCTTTCATATAAAGCTGGCGAGCATTCAGGACCCCACGCTAGGAGAGACGTCCCTCCAGGACCTCCTGACTCAAAAGCAGGGAGCTGGGAAAAGCGCCAAGTCCTGGTGTCTTTACCATCCTCGCTCCAGGAATAAGAGGTGAGGGTCCCGCGGTTGGGGGCCTGAAGCCAGTCCACTCACCTGCACGGGATCCATCAGCCGCGCCCCGGCCATTGGAGCCTGTGGGACCAGAGGGTCTGGCGGGCTCAGCCTATCGCCCACCTCGCCGAGTCCAGGGCGAGGTGTGACCCCGGGCTAAGTGGCTCACTCCCAGCCTCAGCGTCCCCGGTGTAAATGCACAAGGCCCAGGGGGCAGCCTCCGGGGTCACGGACAGTGCGCGGTCCCGGCGGACACCCCAGTTCCCGGAGATCACGGGTGGTACAAAAGTGCGGGGGTGGGTCCCAGCCTCACAGTTCTTCCCGGTGCAATCCCGAAAAGCCGTCCCCGGCCCATCAGAGCACAGCCTGGACTCAGGGAAATGACTGGCGGGACCCGCAGGCAGGAAGTCCCGGCCCCCACGGACGCGGCCACAAGCGCCGCTCGCCCGGGCTGCCATTGGCCCGGCGCCAGCTGACCCGCCGCACAGCTCTTGGAAACAGCCGGGTTCGGCCTCGGGCCTGGCTGCTGGGAGCGGCTGTGGGACCTGGGGCCGAGCCCAGGCTACGAAGCGGAGGGGACCGACCTCGCCAGCCCTTCACCTCCGCCCTGCAGCCCTGCCAGCTGTTCTCTTAAAGGGGCCGCTGTCCACTTCTGTAGCCGCTGGAGCGAAGCTCCGCCTACCGGGAGGTGCTCTGAACCCATTCCATGCCCTTCCTCCGCGCGCTCGGGGGCGAACCCCTTCACCACCCACTCAAGGACCTAGATGCACATTGAAGAGGGACCAGCAAATGGCTTGATGGTTACGCTGGATGCTCACGTATTCGACCACGAGTTCGAGTCCCAGACTGTGCTTAAAACTCATGCTGGGCGCGTGTGCGTGGGTGCCCAAAGTCCGTGGAGGGATTGAGAGGGATTGAAAAGGGATTGCGGGTGGCCATAGTGTGTGCGTGTGTGTGTGTGTGTGTGGGGGGGTGATTTCTCGCTTTCTATCTTTGTGTCTTGGTGTCTCTGTCTCTCCTGCAAAAATCACTATAAAGAAAAAGAAAATGAAGATAATACCTGATTGGCGCAGTCTTTGTGGATTAACATTCATTGTTGTTGTAATCCAGTGGTTCTCAAGCCAGTAACTCAGTGTCACCTGGAGATTTATAAATACAAGGTCGGAGGCGACAACCCAAATCTAAGGACTCAGAAAGTCTAGGGGTGGTGGGGCCCAGCTTTGTGTGCCTTAACAAACCCTCTGAGGGGCTCCAATGCTTCCTCCAATTTGAGAACAGAAACTCATCAAAATTCAACAAATGAAACAGGATAAATAACCAGTAAGTAGTATGAAAAAAATATCATTACATACCTCCAGGTAGGTAATGGAGCCTGGTACATAGTTCCTGCTGGCCATGCAAATGCTATTATTCTTATCACCACAAGACTCACAAACACTGCTGTGGGAAGGCAAGTAAGAGTCAACTCTCTGCAAGGTCATTTGGGATATATGTGAAAATGTAAAATACAATAACTTTAGCTCAAGTTCAGAAAATAGCCTCCTAGGTAGTGATCATAAGTTTTATGTGAAAGCATGCCCTTGTATTCATACCATTTGGCTCCCTTATTTTATATTACTTTGTGGGGGAGAGTATAAGAGATGTTTGTTTACCTTTTTATTTTTAAAAAATGAATATGTACAGTTTTAACAAAAAGCCATATATTCATTACAATGTGATATGTTCAAATACATATGCATACAAAAAAGGAAAACTACAGACCAATATTTCTAATGAATATAAATGCAAAAATTCTCAGTAAGATACCACCAAATTGTATCCAATGACTCATAAAAACGGTAATACACCATGAGCAGGTAGGCTTTATTCCAGGGATGCAAGGGTGGTTCAACATATGTAAAACCATAAATACCCCATATTAGCAGAAAGAAAGAAAAAAATCATATGATCATATCTCTGAGTACAGTAAAAGCATTGGATATTCTACAACTTCCCTTCATGATTAAGACTCTCAGCAAAATTGGGACCAGCAGATGGCATAATGGCTATGTCGCTGGACTCCCATGTAGTCAACCGCGGTTCAAATCCCAGACCCGGAGGCTTAAACTCACGCGGGGTGCGTGTGTGCATGCCCAAGATCCCAAGAGGAGAATGGAGGAGAACGAACTGCGGCATGGCCATCCCTCCTTGAGGGAGTGATGTCTCGCTTTCTGTCTCTCTGTCTTTCACTGTCTTTCTGGAAAGCACATGCACCCTATAGCAAAAACCTCTAAAAAAAAAAAAAGACTCCCAGCAAAATTGGCATAGAAGGAACATTTCTCACCACAATAAGAGCTATCTATGAAAAACCCATAGCTAACTTCATTCTGAACGGTGAAAAGCTGAAAGCTTTTTCACTAAAAACTGATATAAGACAAGGCTGCCCACTTTCTCCACTCCTTTTCAATATAGTGCTGAAACTCAGCCAATACAATCAGAAAAGAAAAGGTATTCAAATAGGGAAGAAAATTCACAGTTGACATGACTATGTACATAGAAAACCCAAAAGAACAAAAACCAAACAAACAAACAAACAAAACAACTCCTGGAAGCACTAAATGAATACAGTAAAGTAGTGGTCTACAAAATCAACATATAAAAATCTATAACATTTCTATAAATGAACAATGAGCAAACAGAGGAAGAATTGAAGAAAGTAATCCCATTTACAATAGCCACAAAAAGTCTAAGATACCTAGGAATAAACCTAACAACAGAAGTCAAAGACCTCTACAAGGAACACTATGAAAAATTAAAAGAAGAAATTGAAAATGATACAAAAAAGTGGAAAGATATACCATATTCTTGGACTGGAAAAATTAATATAACCAAAATTTCAATTTTACCCAAATTAATCTATACATTTAATGGGATTCCAATAAAATTACCAGGGACATTCTTCACAGATTTAGAAAGAACAATCACGGAATTTGTCTAGAATCATAAAAGACCCAATATTGCCAAAGCAATACTGTGCAAGAAGAGTGGAGTAGAAGGCATCTCACCCCCTGTCCCCAAAATATATCACAAAGCTGTGGTAATCAAAACAGCATGGTACTGGCACAAAACAGGCATGTGGACCAATGGAAGAGGATAGAGACCCTAGAAATAAATCCCGTAACAGATGGTCAACTGATTTTTGACAAAGGCTCCCAGTCAATCCAGTGGGGAAAAGAAACTCTCTTTGGCAAATGGAGCTGAAAAACTGTATCTACCTGCAGAAAGGCGAAACTGGACCCCTATCTCTTGCCACTAACAAAAACCTACCCAAAGTGGATCAAAGATTTAAGCTAAGCCTTCAAACTATGAAACTACTGGTGGAAAACATTGGGACAACTGTTGGAGACATCAGAGTAGGCAAAGACTTCTTAAATAAGACCCTCAAAACACAGACAGTAATCCCAGAAATAGACAAGTGGGATTACATCAGGTTAAAAAACTTCTACACAGCAGAAGATACAATAATTAGAGTGAATTGACAACTCTCAGAATAGGAGAATACATTTGTAAATTATGCTCAGATAAGTAACTGATAACTAAAATACACAGGGAACTCAACATACAGATAATTCAACTTACTAACCCCCTCCCCCCAAAAAAAAGACCCACCCAATTAAAAGATGGGCAAATGAGCTGAACAGACAACTAAGGAAGACATACAAACAGCCAAAAAGCATATGAAAAAAATGTTCAACATCCCTTATCATAAGGGAGATGTGATCAAAACCACAATGAGATACCACTTAACCCCAGTCAGAATAAGATGAAAAATATAAAGAATGTTAAGTGCTGGTGAGGCTGTGGAGAAAAGAGAACTGTTACACCATTGGTCAGATGAAAACTAGCATAGTCACTGTTGAGAATAACATGGAGATTCTCAAAGACCTACCATATGATCCAGCAATTCCAGTCCTGGGCATCTACCCAAAGGACAGGAATGCACTCAGTCAGAAATACACTTGCAAGGTTTATTGGAGAATTATTCACAGTTGCTAAGCATGGAACCAACCCAAATGTCCACAAACAGACATATGGATTGAAAAAATGTGGCCCAGAGATGCTGCAAAATACTACTCAGCCATAAAGAACAATGAGACCCTGGCATTTGATAAAAAAAAAATGGAAAAATATGGAAGATTTACTGCTAAGTGAAGCAAGTCAGTCTATGAAAGAGAGGCATTGTATGTCCCCACTCAATATATACCAAATGTCTACACTCTATGGCAGAAACTGAAAGACTGGATACTATAAAGGCATGGAGAGCAACTGCAGATATCAGAGACAATGTGGCAGGAAGGTGGGAAATGGGGGAGGTTGAAATGGAGGGAATAGATGGGAAAAAGAAAAAGGCAAATTATTTAAGGAACACAAAAATGGAAAGTTTCTGTTGATAATATGTATGGTAATATCTTTGATTGAACCAATGCACAGTGTATTCAGGATGGAAAAATGCATTTGGTATGCTGTAATGATACACAGTGATTGAATGTAAAAAATAATAATAATAAAAATAACAAAGAAAAAAAGAAAAAAGATATATACATTGTGAAATAACTAAATAAAGCTAATTAACATATACATTATATTACATAGATATGGTTTTCATGGTAATAGCACATAATATCCACTTTCTTTCCATTTTCAAAAATATGAGGGTACTGGGAACTAGCAGTTAGCATAATGGCTATGTCGCTGGACTCCCATGTAGTCGACCGCGGTTCGCGTCCCGGACCCGCTGGCTTAAAACTCACGCTGGGCGCGTGTGTGTGTGTGCCCAAGATCCCGAGAGGAGAGTGGAGGAGAAGGGATTGCGGCATGATCATCCCCCCCTGGGGGATGATTTCTCGCTTTCTGTCTCTATGTCTCTCTCTGTCTGTCAATCAAGCACATGCGCCCTATAGCAAAAAAAAAACCTCTCCCCCCCAAAAAAAAATATGAGGGTACTTCAAAAAGTTAGTTTAAAATTGAACTAAAAGATTAAAATTGTAAACTTTATTTCTCAAGGTAAACTCCATTAAGTTCAGTGCACTTTTATAAGTGATATCAGCCATTAACTCTATCCCTAAAGAACTAAGGATCCTGAGAATTTAATCTATGTAGTCTTTTACATTGTTAACTGAAGAAAATTGTGTGCCCTTTAAAGACTTTTTTTCTTTTTTTTATTCGCTATAGGGTGCGTGTACTCACTGGAGAGAAACAGAGAGAGGGAAAGTCAGAAAACATCTGGCCACACTGTAATCACTTCTCTTCCATTGCCAGCTTGGGATTTGAGGCATGCACGCACATGACCCCGGCGTGTTCTTCAAGCCATCAGGTCTGGGACTCAAACCGTATTATTGGCCATGTGGGATCCAACTGCCTTAACCACTGCTGGCTGGCCCCAAGATTTTTTAATATTAAGAAACAAAATGAGGACCAGCAGTTAGCGTAATGGCTATGTTGCTGGACTC